TGGGTCTGCTTTTGGGAGAACTAACCAGGGGTCGTAGCCTGGGTTCCCTTTCTTGGTCAGGAGATACTTTCTCATAGAAATGTTTTAAATGGAGATGCAAGCCATGTATTGTAAAATTCACCTATTGTAGTGTACAATGTGGCAGTTTTGGGTATGTTCACAAAGCTGTGCAGCCATCACTACTATCTAACCCTCAAGCATTCCCATTGCCCCCAGGAACCCTGTGCCCATTGGGTCCCTCCCACCCTTCTTCCTCAGCCCCTGGAAACCACAGATCTACCTTCAGCCTCCGTGGATCTGCCTACTGTGGACATATCCTGTGGAAGGAATCACATGGCACGTGGCTTTTTGTGTCTCACTTCTTTCACCGAGCATGAGCCTTCACGCTTCAGCCACGCGGTACCCCGAGCCAGCACTCCAGGCCTTGCGATGGCTGAGTAACATTCCATCATGTGGTGTTACAGTCTGAATTCTGTCTCCCCCAAATTAACACGTTGAAGCCCTCGCCACTAATGCCTCAGAAAGTGGCTGTGTTTGGAGCGAGGGTGTTTAAAGAGGTAACGAAGCTGTGTGTGTGGTGGTGCCTCAGACTCACCTCTCTGGAAACTCTTTTCGATCTCAATGCTCCACTTGCCGAACTCCATCCGGATTCTGGTGAACAGCCGACTGTCGTCGCCCCACACAGATTCCTCCCCCTCTACTAAGGCTTGGATGTCCTGATTAAATGCATTGATTTTCTGTGAAGAGGAAGCACAGTGGAGCTATGTCAGATGCTAGCGTGGCGGGATCTGAGATGATACACGTGCTGAGGGGCAAGGCATTCTTGCTGCCTACGGGCCACTCTGGGGAATGGGCACCAGGCCCCCCCACTCTTCCCTTAAGGCCTTTGGGGTCTTGGGTGAGTCCCATGATGAGGAATCCAGGAGCAATGTGACCCTCTACCCTCCACACCCCACCTCCCTGCTCCCCGACCCTCAAACCCGGGCCCTATCTGGTGCTCAGTGGACAGAAAAGAAAGAAGCGCATAAGGCACGCGGCCCCTTTCATACATTCAGGGTGTGACCCTTCAGCGCGATGCCACGGCGCTACTCACGTCAATCAGAAAGAACATTTTCTCAGTTTCTTCTTCCGGGATGTCCATGCCATACTTCTGCAACTGCTCTGTTATACTCTGCTGGTTCTCCTTTATTTGATTTTCTAACAGGGGCAGAGATTTCTGGGGAAAGCAGGAAGAAAGTCATGGAAATACAGCAACGTGAACCGGGAATGAAAAGATGGCCCAGGCCTCCCTCTGCGAGGTGCGGGCAGCTGAGCAGGGCATCTGACTTCCCGGCTTCCTCTATAAGGACTCTCCTGCCTGGAGAGAGGGCACTGCTTCCCACCCGGGGCTGCCCACCCTCCCGTTCCCGTGCAAACAGCCTTGCCCATGCCAGACGACCCCTTGGCATGGCTCCTGGGCCCTGGAAAAGCAATTTGTCTAGTGGGTTCGGAAAAAGTGCACCTGCAACAATTTGAGATTTAGCTACTTTCATGCTGTTGTGCGAGACGGAAAGTGATCAGGCCCTGTGTCTCTAATAACAACCATAAGGTGGAGTGCACGTGCCGGCTCAGCCTTCCACGGCGAGCATCTAAAGACGCCGGCTAGCATGTCACACGCAGCCTTTAAACGTGTCAGTGAGCTGGCAGGTGTTCACAGACACCCAGCAGCCAAAGCCAGCTGACAGTGGGCGCCCACGGATGCCAGAGGAGAGCCGCAGTAAGGCTCGATTTGGCCTCAAGGGCATTTGTGAGAGAAAGCTTGAACTCGCCTGAGGTGATGCTGAGGCGAAGGAGAAATCCCCGGGGGCTTGCTCCAGGCAGGAATCTAAGGGACGAGCACCTTCTTTCTAGATAAACCTGGGGTCCTGACATGATGCCCTCATCATAGCAGAGGCACAGCCTGCCCACCAGCCCGTTCCTGGGGGACTGTGTGCCACGCCTGGACTCTGTGCCAAGTGGAGGGGAAGAGAAAATCTCCATGGAGAGTCTGTACCCACAGCCAGCACTCAGACAGGTTTGTTCCCCAACTTCACACTTGCCGAGGGGTCCCCAAACCTCCAGCTAAGAAGCTAACATGATTCAAGCTAGAAGCAAACGCTGCCTCTCCCCGAAAAGCCCCATTGAACCCAGGCTTCTGCAAATCCCCACAGACCAAGTTCCAAGAAACTCAGGCTGCCAGTCAAAATTCCCGCCCAAGGCCCTGTGGGAACGGCCCGCGGAACCCAGCACACCCGGCTTCTGATTCTGGAACCATCGAGTTCAAGGCACAACAGAAATACATGCAAAGGCATCTTTTAAAAGGATCGAAAATGGGCAAGAGCAAGAGACTGTGCGGACAGATTGGAAAAGCAGAAAAATGTTAAGAAATGAAATACGATTATTACAGTTACCAAGGCAGGCTGACAGTGGCAGGCGGTGAGAAAGGAAGAGTTAGAACAGTGCTCAGAAGGTCTTGATTTTTAATTCGACCAAGTGGACACTGTCAGCATCCCTCTCACTGTGTGGGCCTCTGACAAGCACCATGCATGACCCGGGCCCTTCTCTAGAAACGGGGGGTTTCAGGCCACATTCCAGACCCACTGAGCCTGGGCCTGCATCTTCACAGATGCGTGGGAGTTCCATGTGCTCGCTGACAGTTCAGCGTCGCCATGCCATGATCCAGCTTGCTGTTTGTAGGATTCTACCCAGAGGACATTCAGCCCTCCCTCTGCTTACACTGATGTGTGCGATGAGCTCATTGGTCAGTCTTTCTGCCAGGCAGGGGATCGTGGCCTTTCCCTCCTCCAGGAGATCCCTGCAAGAGAAGACGGCACACACACACCCATCTTAGTGTAGCCACAGAAGGCTTTGTGCAGCTGCCTGCGGAAGTCACGGCAAATCCAGTAACTTCCAACTGGAGGGAGTGCCCTGCTGTTGGTAGGTGCCCCGTCAATGTTCAGAATTGAATCGTATAGAAGGATGACTGCATTTTAGTCAATTCAGATCATTCAAAAGTAGTATAGAATGACCCCTTCCAGTTGATGTGTGAAATGTGTCTTTACAAAAATACAGCCACCTACAGATACGTTTTCATCACACACACACACACACACACACACACACACACACACATTCTGTGTGCACCACACATGTAGATATATATATAGTGCATATCGGTAGAGGACTTCATAAAATTATATTGACCCGTTATTTACATAGGTGTGAGGGTGACCATGGAACCAGGGGACACGGCTTCCCCGAGACGAGGACTGAGACCATGGTTGCTCGGGCGAAGGAAGCCACGCCCTCCTCAGTCAGTCCAACTCTGAGTTCCCAGGGTGAGTTACGACAGGGTTCTGACATTGCACAAAGCTTGGCAATATAAAAGGCAGGAAAGCACGAGTCGACATACCTATTAGTGAGATTACACACAAGCTCAAGTTCTCTTTCCACACCTGTCCATTTGTCTAATTGTCGTAAAATACACATCTCATAAAATTTACCGTTTTAACCATTGCTAAGTACACAGCTCAGGGGTATTAAGCACATTGATGCTGTTGTGAAAAAGTCTCTACCATCCAGCTCCTGAACGTTCCATCTTCTCAAAGTGAAACCCTGTCCCCGTTGAACACTAACTCCCCATCCCCCAGCTCCAGGCCCTGGCTCCCGCCATCCTACACTCTGTCTCCATGACTACGACCACTCTCAGGACCTTATGTAAATCGTACAGTGACCAGCTTATTTCACTTAGTATACTGTTCTCGAGGTTCATCCATGTTGTAGCAGGAGTCAGAATGTCCTTCTTTCTTAAGGCTAATATTCCATCGTATGAATAGATCACATTTTGTTTACCCATTCATCTGTCAATAGATACTTGAGTTGTTTCATCTTTGGCCTTTGTGACCAGTGCTGCTGTGCTCAGAGGTGTGTGAATAGCTGTTTACACACCTGTCGATTCTGAACAAGACTCTCCACGGGCTTCTGGGAGAATTGATCGTGATGATATTAACAATGTGCGTGGGGCTCCACCTGCCTACACAGGTGTGCACACAAGGGCCTCAACATCCCATAAGCACCTTTTCATTGACATCTTTTTGGCCGGGTACCAAAGCGCCCTGAAGAGGCTGTGCCAGAGGCTCCCTGCCCCGGGGCAGAGCCAGGCTCCTCCTTCCTGCCACCTCTGCATCTTCTCAGTCTTTTCAATCTGCCAATTTAACTGTCTCTTCCTTTTAAGAAAATTCTTGTCTTTGGCCTTAGAGTTAGACAGATCTCTATCATGGGATTCTAAACTCTCCATCTATAAGCTTCAACCAGTATTTATTTTGGTGTAATGTGAATGTTCAGGGCACAAAGTTTAACTTTTTCCCCCAAACATTAAATGATGTTTTCAGTGCCACTGATTAATCATCAAAATGACATGGCCCATGGATTTGAAAGGCCACATTTATCATATATCCAATACATGTATCTGGGTCTATTTTGGGTTTACTACTTTTTCCCTATTTGTTGTATTTATGCTTTTATTCTGGTTCCAGCACCATACTCTTTAAATTATTGTAGCAAGTTCACTCCTTAATTTGATTTTTTTACAAGTTTGTGGGGGTTTTCTTTTGTTTTTGTTTTGTTTTGTTTGTGAATGTGAATTCCTCCATGTGAATTCCATGCATGTGAATTCCTCCATCTTTCTTCCAGGGAAATCCCACAGTCACTCTCAGGATCAAACACTCACACATCGGTTTTCCCCGGGGAGGACAGAGGTCCTTGGTTAGGTTTGACCTTGGGAAAGCGGAGCCGGGCGTACCTGAAATAAGGATGGTCCTCGAAGAAGGCCCTCTCTCTCTGCAGGGCCTTGGACAGGCTCATCTGGTACTGGATGTCCTGTTGGCCCCGGCACTTGACGATCATGTAGCCCTTCTTCAGGTGGTAGACGAGGTTTCGCACCACGTCAACGACCTTGTCTTCCGTGCCTCTGTCCACCAGGTCGGGCTTTGTCAGGATCCCTGTGAACCAGAGACTTTCAATTAGGGGACACTCACAGCTCCGTTGGAGCGAGGAGTGGTCAGCTCACCACCTGGGGGAGGAGAGTCTCGTGGCCACCCGCTTCCCCCAACCTTGCTTGAGGGCAGACCATAGGGCTTGCAGAGTCCAGGTGCAATGCACGGAACTTTCCATCTTCCCCGTCTGACACTCTGTCCCCATTAAACACTCACTCCCCATTCCCCCCTCCCAGCCCCTGGCACCCTCCATTCTGCTTTCTATCTCTATGAATCTGACTCCTCTAGGGACCCAATATATGTGTTATTTGGCTTATTTCACCTGGCAAAATATTTTCAAGGTTCATCCATGTTGTGGCATGTGTCACACATCCTTCCTTTTTTCCCCACCCTCAAATTCACTGTTAACTGACAACTGCTTTCAGGTTTTGCCCCAATCCCTGAACTCAGCAGGCCTTTTGTAAGCAGGCAGACAAGGGTTATGGGCCCACTTGTGGCCAACAAGAATCCACGTGGCCCGCGCCATCCGCACTCAGTGGGCACCAAACCTGACACCTTAGCAGTCTCATCTGCTGGGTGCAGCCCCCCTCCCCACCCTGCATGTGTGCCAACAAACACCCATTTGGATTCAAGGGATGCTTTCCCACTATCAGACCCCCTACCATTTGTCGGTTCGTCCCTCTTCTTACCTATGGTCCTGTCTCCATCGGGGTCCACCTCCTGAGCCATGCTCAGCGCCTCTGTGGTGGCGATGTCCACGTTACTGGGCACCACCACCAACATGATGGTCTGTTGCCTCAGGATGTACTTCTTGATGAGTGCTATAATCTGTAAGAAAATGAGGGGATGTGAGAGTTGAGCTAGGTTCTTGGAGTCCCAGGGGTATCCCCCCCCTCAACACAAGCCTAGCAGCTCTTCCCGAGCCAGAGTTTGAGGAACTAAGTTCTCTGTGGCAGAAAGAGCTCTGGGGTCAGGGAAAACCAAGGTTTCTGCTCATTAACCATCTCCTAAAACCTCAAATCTGATGGTCACAAAAAAACAAGATGCTACAAGAATTGCTCAAGTCTTGCCTAGGTCATTAATCCATAGGATGAGAGTCATTGATAGGGAAATATCATTATATTGTTTCTAGTGCTCTTTCTTCCCACGTAAGATCCTTCTATAATACATGCCTGTTTAGATATGCCACAAAATGTGACTATACCTAAAAATGCATCACCATAAAATACATAAAACAGAGAAAACATATTTCCAATTTTGCCTGTTTGCCTCACTCTGTCCAGAGAAGCCTCTACCTGACTTGGTGGAGAAAACTGCAGCCATCATGCGCTCAAAATTCCCTACTCATACCTCCTAATACCCAACCCTCAGCCTCAGCCCTGAATTCTCTATTGCTCTAATGAAGCCTCCCTCCCGCACAAGACCAAGGTCAAGATGAAGCCTGAAGTTTCACCTGACGTCCGATGTCAGCTGGCTGATTCCCCACAGCCACCCTGGTGATGCCAGGAAGGTCTATCAGGGTCAGATCTGGCACGTGAGGGGAGCTGACCTCCAGATTAATTAGCTCTTGACTGATTCCCACACCTTCCCCAGCAATGACATTCTGGGCTAGAGAAGAAGAAAAAAAGAAAAACCAAATAGCACTTAGGATGAAAGTTACCCATTACAGCGAATCCTCTGAAGGCAACACCTACCAGTCACTTTTGTACCTTCCCCAAATGACTGAAACTTAAGTATGTGACATGGTAGGAAGAAATTAAAGTCAATAAGGAAAAGTTATCTATTCGTCTCAATCACAGTTAGCAGCGACTAACTGTGTTACTCCTTTGTCTTTATCAACTTCAAGTCTGATTTCTCCCTTTGGATGTCTCAAATTGGTCAAATGGTCTCTGTGGTTTATGTCTACCGAGACCTTCCATAAATTAGTCTAAACAAGGATTCTGTAAACACATCTATTCTGCTCCTGGAGGAAAAGGCCCACCCGGATTCCTCTTCCATCAGGTCTGCGGAGTGGGGAAGCCCTTAAATAAAAAAGACTCAATATTTGAGGACAAGCTTTCCATTTTAAAATTCACATCATCCTCAGATACTTAACGTGTATACTAAGCAATACATTACTGAGGTCAGAATCTGCTCAAAAGCACTGTCTTAACACATTGTTTGTGGGTAGTTTTTATCGCGCGCTAACAGGTGGTGTGGGCCACTTTTGCTAATTTTTTGCTCAAATGGCAACATTCAGTAAAATTACAATAACTTTAGTTTACGTATTTATACATTACCCGCATTCTACTGCTAGTCTATAAAAAACGTATTAATACGTGTCCCGTGCTCTACTACTACAGTCAACGTAAAACATATAAATACATTTCCCGCATACAATGTGTTAATGAGGGAAAAGAAGATAAAATATGAGAGATCTGGGGCCTGATGAGCAGGAGGGAGAGAGGGATGGATGGTTCCCAAGGGTGCCAGGCGGACCCAGAAAGGAGAGAGTGGGAACATGGACAGGCAGACCCCACCCACTTCACCTGGTTTGACCTGACATCCAAATAGGTGAGGATGAATGAATATGGGGTACTTACCTTTCCTGATTTCCTGTTCTACCTCCGAAGCAGTAGAAAGCTCAATCTCCAGGTCTCGGTAAGTGACTTTGCCTTTCCACTCATCATCATGCCTAAGTTTTCTCAGTTTCAGCACCAGGGGACATCTTGTAACAATACCTAGGAAGCCAGGTGCATATCAGTTCCATACTCTGCTCTTAAAAGTCCTATATGGTGGCCTTGGATCAATGGCTCTCAAAGTTTCATATAATCTTGGAGACTGTTCACACTGCTAACGTTCTGGTCTCACCCTCTGATACTCTAATGCATGACATCTGTGATAGCCTCAGAAATGTGCACTTAGAATATACATCTGAGGTGATTTTTGGCTCCTTAATGCTTGAAAGCCTCTATTTTAAGTATCTTGCTTCATCCCAGTGTTTTGTCTCCAACTCAAGTGGGAAATAACAAACTTATGCAAACATCCTCCATTATCCCCTAATATACACTACTCCTGTCAGAGAGGCATCTATCCAGAAAGACCAAGACCAAAGATGGTCTATCCATCCTCCATATCCAGAGCATGTCAAGACCCATTTCAGGTCTGTCTGTGTCCATGAGCCCTCACTGATATCCTTGGTCTTGTAGCTCAAACAGCACCAATGATCAGAGAACCAATCTTTGCCTCTCAGATGGATGGTCAGCTCTGGGGAAGGGGCTCAGGAAAGGCGCCCACATGCACAGAATCCTGGGCTGGAGACCCATATGCACTTACTCAAGCCCTTCCACACAGTGCAGGTTATGTATAAACCACACAGAATTGTGCAGTGAGTGGGTATTATGGACTAAATGGTGCCCCCCTCAAAATTTACATGTTGAAACCCCAACCTCCAATGTGACTGTATTCGAAGATAGGACCCTCCTTTAAAGAGGTGATTAAGGATAAATAAGGTCCTAAAGGTGGGTCACTAACCAATATGGCTGACATCCTTCTAAAAAGAGGAAGAGACACCTCACATGTGTACACACAGAGAAAAGGCCATGTGAGGATTCAGCGAGAAGATGGTCATTTGCACAAGGAGAGCAGCCTTGGGAAAAACCAAGCCTGTTGACACCTTGATTTTGAACTTCTATAGCCTCCAGAACTGTGAGAAACAAATTTCTATTGTTTAAGCCACTCAGCCTATGGTAGTTTGCTATGGCAGCTGTAGCTGACTGATAGAGAGGGTAAGTTCTTACCGCTGCCTCTGGGGAGGGAGACACCAGACAGCGCCTCCAGCACGGAGCTCTTTCCCGAGCTCTGGTCCCCGATGACGGCGATGGCGGGCAGGGCCAGGTCCTGCTCCACGCCCAGGGCCCGCAGGGAGTCGATGAGGTCGATGCAGGGGCGCACCTTCTCCTCGTACTGGCTGCACAGGCTATTCTCCAACGTCTAGCAAAAGCAGAATCAGAGGATTTTGTCATGGCTTGCAGGTCATGCTCCATCAAAGATGGACAACTTCAACTTGCCCAATATACAGGTTATTCAAGTTACCGAAAGAGAGTGGGAGAGGAACAGAAAAAAAAAAATGATAGATTAACATTTTTCCAAACTTGATGAAAACTATTAACCCAAAGGTCCAAGAAACTCAATGAACCTCAAGCACAAGAAACTATTGTGAACTACATCAATCTAGTCCAATTGCTCAAACACAGCGATATTGAGAAAATGGTTAAAGCAGTCAGAGAATGACATGTTATGTATAGAGGAACACAGGTGAGATTTCAGCAGACTTCTCGTCAGAAATCATGCAAGTGAGAAGACAGTGGAACAGCATTTTTAAAATACTAAATATGCCTTTTAAAAATGAAAGTGAAATAAAGACTCTTTCAGATATACCACAGGTGAACAAATTCATCACAAGCAGACTTGCACCACAGGAAATGTTAAATTCCTCCCAGCAGAAGGAAAGTGGCACTGGATGGAAATCTTAATCTACACAAAGGAATCTACACTAGAAATGGTAACTACTATACTTTTTAAATTACTTAAATACATTTAAAATAAATTTGACTGAACAAAAATAACGATATATTGTGGGACTTATGATATAGGTAAAGTTAAAATTCATGACAAAAATAGCATGAAGGCCAGGAGGGGAGACATGAGAGCAAACTTGTCAGGTTCTCATATTAGACATGAAATAGAATAATATTCCTTGAAGGTAAAGTTAATAATGTTTAATAGAGACACTCAGGCAATTCTATGTAATAAGCCAACAAAGAAGGTAAAATAGAATCATAAAAAATACTTGATGAACTTAAAAGAAGGCAGAAAAAGAAGAAATGAAGAACAGATAGGGTAAATAGAAAATAAATAGCAAAATGATCTTCTCAAAACCATTAATACTAACAATCACAACAAATATAAATGGTCTAAATACTCATAGAACAGTCAAAATGACTTTGAAAATAAAGAACAAAATTGGAGGGCTAACATTACTATATTTCAATAATTGTTATAAAGCTTCAGTAACCCAAACAATGTAATCTATAATAATAAAATCGTAATATGCAAATCAACTGAACCACCGAACAGCAGAACGACCATCTGGACAACCTTCCGGACAACCATGCTATGACACCCTTGGCACTACCAGCTAAGGCAGGTGTGATGCGATTGGTTGGGGGCCCAGCCATCACCCCATGATGGCTTTGCAGAGGGAGGCCCCGGCTGTGGCAGCGCTGTGGCAGGTGGGCAGGGCCTCCCTCTGTGGGGGCGATCCATCATGGAGCCCTGGCTGGGTGGTCAGGGCCTACCTCTTTAGGGTGATCAACCATGGGATTCCCGGACTGTGAGAGGGCACAGGCTGGGCTGAGGGACCCCCACCTCCCCCCAGAGCACAAATTTCGTGCACCATGTCTCTAGTACTGGTATAAAAATGGAGAAAGAAATTGATAGATCACATACATTTCCAGAAATAAACTGACACGTATATGAATAACTGATTTTTTACAATAGTGTAAGAACTATGCAGTGGAAAAAGGATAAGCTTTTCAACAAATGGTAGTGGAATAATCTAGTTATCAGCACGCAAACACACACACACACACACACACACACACACCACCTAAAATCTATCACACCATATACAAGCATTTGCTCACAATGGGTCATAAACCTAAATGGAAAACTTAAAACTACAGAAGTTCTAGAAGAAAACATAGAAGAAAATCTCTGTGACTGTGGATTAGGCTATGGTTTCTTAGGTATGGTTCCAAAAGCAGAATCCATAAAAGAAACCAACTGACAAATTCAACTTCATCAAAATGAAAACATTGGATGTTTATATGAGGCTGTTAAGAGAATGAAAAACAAGCTACAGTCTGGGAGAATATGTTTGCAAAGCATATATCTGACAAAGAACTTGTACCCAGAATTACAAAGAACTCTCAAAACTCAACAGTGAGAAAACCACCCAATTAAGAAAAAGAGAAATTAATTTTATCTTTTCCTTTTTTAAAAAAAATATATTCTATTGATTTTTTACAAAGAGGAAGGGAGAGGGATAGAGAGTCAGAAACATCGATGAGAGAGAAACATCGATCAGCTGCCTCCTGCATACCCCCCACTGGAGATGTGCCCGCAACCAAGGTACATGCCCTTGACCGGAATCGAACCCATGACCCTTCAGTCTGCAGACTGACGCTCTATCCACTGAGCCAAACTGGTCAAGGCTTATCTTTTCCTTTTTAATTCCCATTTTTGAGTGTGTTTTATAATATACATAAATTTTACTAGAATATTTCCTTTACGTTATGGTAAGAAGCTACTTATATTTTGGGCCAGACAAGTCTTTGTGGTGGGGGGCTATCCTGCATTCTAGTATTATAAGGAGATTTGGCAGAATCCTGGGCCTCTATTCACTATTCTCCATGAGTTTTTTTGTTGTTGTTGTTTTTTAATGGTTCAAAATTTTTAAGTATATTTTACTAGAGGCCTGGTGCACAAAATTCATGCACTCATGGGGGAGGGGACCCTCAGCCCGGCCTGCGCCCTCTAGCAGTCCAGGACCCCTCACTCCTCACCACCCACCTGCTCGCTGCACTCGACTAGCTGCTTCTTAGCTTTGCTGCGGAAGTGGGAGAGGCTCCCACCACCACTGCTGCGCTCGCCAGTCGTAAGCCTGGTTTCTGGCTGAGCAGCACTCCGCCTGTGGGAACACACTGACCACCAGGGGGCAGCTCCTGCATTGAGCATCTTCCCCCTGGTGGTCAATGTGCATCATAGCAACGGGTCATTCTGGTCATTCTGCCATAACAGTCACTTAGGCTTTTATTATATAGACTAGAGGCCCATTGCACGAATTCATGCACCAGTGGGGTCCCTGGGCCTGGCTGAGGGATTAGGCCGAAACCTGCTCTCTGACATCCCCCAAGAGGTCCTGGATTGTGAGAGGGCACAGGCCAGGCTGAGGGACCCTACTGGTACACAATAGGGGCTGGGGAAGGATGCAGGAGGTTGGCCACCTGGGGAGGGATCGCAGGAGTGCTCCAGGGCATGTCCGGCCCATCTCGCTCAGTCCTGATTGGCCAGACCCCAGCAGCAAGCTAACCTACCAGTCAACTGTCTCCCCCTGGTGGTCAGTGCACATCATAGTGAGCGGTTGAGCGGCCTTAGCATATCATTAGCATATTATGCTTTAATTGGTTAAATGGACAACCGGATGACTGGACACTTAGCATATTAGGCTTTTATTTTATAGGATTGATTTTTACAGAAAGGGAGAGGGATAGAGAGTTAGAAATATCAATGAGAGAGAAACATCGATCAGCTGCCTCCTGCACAATCCCTACTGGGGATTGAGCCTGCAACCAAGGTACATTCCCTTGACCAGGATTGAACCTGGGATCCTTTAGTCGGCAGGCCGACGCTCTATCCATAGAGTCAAACCGGTTAGGGCCTCCATGAGTTTTGACAACCAAAATATCTCCAGACTTTGCAACATGTTCCAAGATGCAAATTTGCCTCAGGTTGCAAACCACTGCCTTACAGAATATGTATGAGTTCAAAACTTCATATACGGGAATACTGACAAATTCAGTAGAAAATGGGGTACACACTGGCAAGGACTCCCTCAACTAACCTTGAGTGGGGCTCTATTGAGCCCTCTCCTCAGCCTGCTGCTAAGCCAGTTCATCCAGAATCCCTCACCTTTGATAGATAATCAAGTCCCTCTTAGCATTTCTCCCTCCTTCTCTCTCACCCTGCCTACTGGCTATAAACTCCAGTTGTACTTATATTCCACACTGAGCTCAATCTCTCTCCTCCGTTGCAATAATCTTGAATAAAATCTTCTTTGCTATTTTTTTTAAGTATCTAGTGCAACTTTTCTCCATAAGAACACTTAAGAAAGCAGAACACCCTGCCACAGGGAAAGCCCATGTGTCCTCGAGTAGCCTCAGTATCCAACCCCCCTATTGCTTATTTTGGTTTTCTTTTTTTTTTTTTTTTATCATCCCTTCACAAGAGTGTATAAAAGATGAATCATTAGCAAATGCACATGTGCCAACCACCTGGGTTAAGAAAACACATATTCTCAGGACTTAAGACACTCCGTCCACCCCCTCCCTAATCACCAGCCTCCTACTGCCCCTTCACCCCTCAGAAGGTCCTTCTACCCTGAGGCTTGTGATAACCACATATCTGCTCTTCTTCATTGTTGTACCATCGAACCATCTTTCCCTGAACAACACATTGCTTACTGTTGCTTGTTTTGGAACTTTACATAAATGAGACCACACTGTACATTTCTTCTATGACGCGATTCTTTGGCTCACCACTGTTTTTTAGATGCAGCTATCTGGGTGCCTGGAAACCTAGTTCATTCATTTCACTGCTATATCCTAGTAGAACTCTGCTGCATACACACACCACAATCACACATGGGCACCTGTGTTGGCCCTGGGTTTTGCTATTTATAAACAATGCTGTTAGAAGCACGGCTCCCAGGGGGAATGGGCAAGAGTTTGCATAGTGGTTTTCAAACATAAACCTGAAGTAGAATCATCTGGAGGGCTTGTTAAAGGCCCCCTCCTGGAGTTTTAGTTTTCTAGGTCCAGGGGTGCTGGGGTCCAACCCCAGCAGGTCCAGGGGTTCCCCAAAGGTGTGGACGGAGTCGGCGAAGAAGGAATGACACAGAGACAGTGTTCAGTTGCTCATCATAGCCGGGTTCTCTTGTCAGGGTCTCCAGCCAGGTTCAGTATCCAGGTTCCCGCTAGGTTCTCCAACCAAGTTCTGTAGCCAGGTTCTGTCCAGGATCTTTTGCCATGTTCTCTCCAGTGAAGTTCTTCTGTCTCTAAGTTCTGTGTAGGTTCTGTCTTCTGAGTTCTGTCTTCTGAGCAAACATATTAAGAACAGTATGCCATATATGCCAGGTCCCTTGAAACAGCAAGGATGGACCGGCTCCCGGCACAGGGGAGGAGTGTGTGTGGGTGTGAACATCTGCATTTCAAATATCATCTGCATAATAGCATCCCAGGCGATGCTATCACTGATTTGGGGACCACACTTTGAGAACCAAGATCGACACCTAGAAGTAGAATTGCCAGATCACCAGACACACTGTTCAACTTGCCTGCAAGAGGTCAGGCTACTTCCTAGCAGGTGGGTGTGAGCTGTGCGAATCCTTACTGCCCCTACACCACCAGTTACAGCCAGGCCCGAGACAGTTATACAGCAGGTCCTCGGGTTACGTTGGAGATCCGTTCCTACGGCACAGCCGTAAGTCGGAAGCCACCTACATAAGCACCTACGTCACTCACATGGAGCACATCCACAGCAGTGATGAAGTGAAACAGTAAAAAAATTTAAAAGAAAGATAACAATTCCTGACCTTTACTTGTGGTAAATGATAAAAAACATAAAGCACGTATGTACATACGTCAACATGACAGAACTTTTTTTTTAATAAATAAATGGGAGATGGTGACATAACCACGAAACAACGTACGTCGAGTCTGACGTAACCCGAGGACTGTCTGTATTAGGGTGGAAAGGTGGGCAGAACTTTTTATTTTCCTATGTCCTTCAACATGGTTTTTAATATTGTTTGAGATACTGGTAACACTGATCATGAAAATGGAGTCAGCTTGAAAGGAGCTGATCCGTGGCTTGAAAACACGTAACAGCAAGAAAAGGAGCTTTTTCTAAGTGCCCAAGCTTCCTGCATTCACTCCTCTCAACAGCCACCGGAAGTAAATAAAATTCTTATGCCCTTTAAAGATGGAAAACCAGGCACATAAAGGGAGGAATAACTGAAGATCACGCAGCTGAAAGTGTCAGTGTTGGGATCAAATGTAGGCCAACTGATTCCAGAAGCTAAATTTGGTTCCCAACAAAAATATGTCTTGCCGAAATCAGTTTGGATCAGTGGATAGAGTGTCAGCCTGAGGACTGAAAGGTCCCAGGTTCGATTCCGGTCAAGGGCATGTACCTGGGTTGTGGGCACATCCCCAGTGGGGGATGTGCAGGAGGCAGCTGATCGATGTTTCTCTCTCATCGATGTTTCTAACTCTCTCTCTCTCTCCCTTCCTCTCTGTAAAAAATCAATAAAATGTATTTTAAAAAAATATGTCTTGATTTTGGGGAAACAGACACCAACATGGCTGCCCTGTGAGGGAATGTCATGATGACACCTCAGAGGGTTGCAGTTTGAGACTGAATCATGTCGTGAGCAACTGGTAACACAGGGTTCCCAGCGCCCAGGACCCAGGCCAAAATTGCACCCTAACCAGCATCAGCTAAGGCAAAAAGTCTACATTCATTTGCAAGAAGGGCTCAGGCTGTAGGATCCACATCCTTGATCTGCTCCGAGAGACGTGAGGGAGCGAGCCTCTCCGGCCACAGTGGCATCGCCACGCACGGGGCAGCTCTGAAATGGCCACGGCTCACATCCACACGGAGAGTGACTTCCAGGCAGCAACTTACCGTCTCCAGATTTCCCTCCGGCGTAACAGCATCTCCATTTGGTAAGGGATGACTGGGTGCAGGGGTGGAATCAGGACTTGCTGTTTCCATGTTAGAATGACCTGTCTTCTCCCTTTATCGGCTCAGCTGAAAACCAAGTAGATCAGGATGAACACAGTCAGAAGCTGGGCACATTCAATCATGCAGCCAAGCCCACCACTCTACTGACGGAAAAAGAAATGACAGCAGGAGCCGGAGGAAGCAAAGGTCCGATGATGACAAAGGCTGTTTCCCAGCTCAGTGCTCTACAGAATGCTTCTAGACCCCAAAAGATTTTTTTTAAACTAGGTATTTCCTGTCATCATTGTAGGTTGAACATCAAACGTTTTTTTCACCACGCCTAGCTGGTGTGGCTCACTGGTTGAGTGTTGACCTACGCACCAGAGGTCATAGGTTGGATTCCCAGTCAGGGCACATACCCACCCCCCAGCAGAGGGGGAGGGGTGGTGCAGGAGGCAGCCTATCAATGATTCTCATCATTGATGGTTCTATCTCTCTCTCCCTCTCCTTTACTCCTCTCTCTAAAATTTAATAAAAACATATTAAAACATTTTTTTCTCACCATAAATTTAGATAGTGGCAAAGAATGAAATTTATGATGTATTTTTTAAGTACATTTAAAAATAAAATTATCATAGAATTCATTCTAAAAAAAAAAACTGATTCTAATGCAGCTGAAGGAATCTAATTATGGTAATTTGATACCCAAACCTATCGTTTAAAAAAATATTAACGCCAAGTCATTTATTCTTGATCCCTGATTTCATATTTTCATTCCATTTCTTCCACATAAGTGTATCTCAATGTTATTCATTTTATTTTTGAAACTATTTAACTGACCACTTTATACTTGCCTGCACACAATATATATGCATATATTTGAAATTCATTTGAAAAATTTTCTGAGACCACAAGTCTCCAAACACTAAATTTTTTTATACAACCAATAATCTTGGATAAAACTAAATAAAAATATCCTCCTTTGGTTTAAAATAAATGTTATAAAAAATATAAAGCACCCACTTACGTCCAATGTAACTTCCTTTTCCTTGACGACGTAAAGACGAGTTGGACAGAAACACAAAGCTGTTCTCCTACACCGCCTTCAAGTCATGGAAAACACACAGATTAGACCCAAACCCTGCACATAGGGAGAGAACTCATCTAGGTCCTTTCCCATCGCTGCCCATGGTGCAAACACAGAGGGGACAGAGGGACCCACTTGGAGGCACATTCGTGGTTCCCGGAATCCTTCTTGTAAATCCTGAATGTTTTAATTCTGAGACGGATGGATGAGGCACAGAACCTTGCTGTAAATTTACTGCCTGAATCAAATTTTTTTTCTGATACTCTCTATGCTTCTTGTCCGATCTCCCAAGAGCTATGCAGTCTTTCTCAATATTAAAAGGCAAGATTAAAAAACACACACACAAGGGAGACTGGGGTGAATTCCTTTTCTGGAAAAGTGGGAGAAAGGTGACCAGGAAAGGCGATCAATTTCAGAGTACTACGGGCTTTTGCAATCTGTAAGTGTACCCTTACCTCCATGCCTTTGGAAAGACTTCTGTGCTCAGCAGGATCCCAGGAATTGTATTTATAAATACATTCCCTTCCTGTGTTTTTGTTTGTTTTTCTTGTCATGATTCTCTCTGGCTATGTATGTCTTGTCTGGGTGCTAAGGTCCTCTGCGGACAATTGTTCAGTTCAGGAACCACAACTACATTTATTTGGAGCGTTAGAGATGCCAGAAGGTAATACAATTAAAACAAAAAAATTCGCCCTAGCTGGTTTGGCTCAGTGGATAGTGTGTCAGCGTCCGGGTTTGATTCCAGCAAGGGCAGTAGGGGGCGTGCAGGAGGCAGCTGATCAGTAAGGGCTCCTTCATCATTGATGTTTCTCTCTCTCCCTCTCCCTTCCTCTCTGAAATCAATAACAACATATATTAAAAAAAAAATTCCCAGTGGAAGAGCCCCCGCCATGGGGGTCAGAGTTCCTCCCTGCCTCCGCATTTCCCTGCCGAATGCTTGCGGTGCTTTTTTGGCTTCCCTTCCCTACAGGCTGTTTCCTCTGAGGACCGGCCAGCCCTAAACTCCAGAGACACCCCGAGCCAAGTCCGCTGGGCGAGGCGTGTCTCATTGCCAGCCATGGTGACGCAGCGCAACATGCCAGGACGAGAAATGGAAACTGTGCTGTGCAAAGTTTTTGCAGAAAAGCCGTCGGTTGGCGGGGCTGTTTTGGGTCGGTCTCCGGGAGCCTGGGCAGCCTGAAGGCGACCCGAGTGTGCTCTGGCCCGGGGAACAACGCCATTCCCTTCGGGACCGTTATTAGCAGGACCGTTATTAGCAGCCCCGCAGCGCCCACACCCCGGGGCTCCCGCCGCCCAGACGCCCCGCTCCGAACCCGGCGGGGGAGGCCGCGCCC